TATATAATTTTTACCAATATTTGGCGTACATTAATAATGACTAGCATGTTTCTTTATCTTATATAATATTTACTTCATATTAATACAGTTTTGCTATAGAACTTCACTAAAGAAGCAACTGCATTTTGAATTATTTTCTAAAAAATAATTTCGCGTAATTGGGTAATTTTATGTGCCCCGTATCTTAAATTTTTCTAAGTATCGATTAATCATTTAAAGCCTTCTTTAGTGTTAATATTCACATATAAGTTCATATTGATTATTAATTAATGGCACGAGCTAAATATAACATCTTATATAATTTGTTCGCTTTACATCATCATTTCTGATATATTTAAGAAAAATATCAACCAAGTAATTGCTGGATTATCACATGATCATCCAGAGTTTGAACGAATGTTTAAATTCGTAGATGATTTCAATATAATTACACGTGATTGTCAACCAATCGTATTTCGAATTTTAGCAAATCGGCCAATCAGATTGCAAAAAAAAGTTGTGGGATTCACTGGGCGAAGCAAAAACATCAACTCATTCATTAAATTTATTCTCGTTTCATAGAAAATTAAGCTACCCGAGCTTTTAAAAGAAATATTGTAAAATGTATAAAATAAATTATGTAACCATATCGGAATCATCTACGAAATTGACGTCCACTCTTGTTGTTTGGGTATAGAGACGGGTGTCGAAATTCAAAAAAGGAAAATGCAACAATACAACGTGATTACGTATTATTTATTGTTTTAATTTCCTTTTTGAATTTCGGTACATGTGGGGTCCAAATACTTGGATTTGGTGACCGAATTTCATCTTAATTGAAGATTATTAGAGTACTGTAAAATTAAAATTATCACTCGGCTATTTATTTTCATAAAATTCGCCTAATACAAAATTGACAACAATGAAATGGTGCATACGAATTAAAAATTCTTAATAGAAACTAGTACAAAACACGTACATTACTTAGCGAGAGTAGTTTAATCGGCAAGATAACAATTTAAAATCAAATAGAATAATATGTATATCCTTCAATATCTATAAATTCTTGCTTGACAATATTTAACTTTCTACAAAAGCTTCTAATAATATAATGCCAAGTATAACCATAATTAATCACCATGTTCTTTCCAATCAACCAAACCCTCGCACGTTTTCTTTGGTATTCATCTTCTGGAATTGCATCCAATATTTCATTAATTCTATGAGCATCATTACGTCGGATCCTAACAATCATAGAATCCCAATCAACGTCGTCCTCAAAAGGTTCAATAATCCCATCAGCAATGACGACAGGAACCACTCCGAACGCAAAATATTCCCATATACGTGTAGTGTCCAATGTCCATCCAGATGGCGCCAACCCATATTTTGATCTTGCAAGTGCTTTAGAATATTCTTCGTTTTCTGATACTTCTCCAATGTCCCAATCAGATAGTCCTTTTAATCCATTAAATATTATATATCTAATACCATCAGAATAACTATCTGTTACTTTAACGCTAGCACAACATCCTTTAAAAATTCCTTTAATGTCCCGACCGAACGGATTACCATCTTCACCAACATATTTGATTGGATCTACATTATGAGCATTTAATATTGGAGTAGCGCTTGGTATAACAATAGAATTATATCTTTTAAATTTTGGGTAATCTATATTTCTCTTATCACCAATTATTGTAAGATATATCGAATTCTGGAACATATATTTTTTTTCATAATAATCATCAGAACCATCCATTGGATGTATCATAAAATGATTTGCTCCATTAGTTTTATTCCAATAAGGAAAATTTTGAATAATATAATTCATCAATGGTTCTAAATATATTGAATCCACTTTACATTTTACAGTGTAATTCCAATTGTTTTTTATCCAACAGTTGAATAAATAACAACTTCCAAAAAATGGAATATAAAATAAATCTGCTTCATCGGGATTTTCTGTGACATATAAATTATGTAATGATGAATTTAATGCTGAAAGTTGATTGAATAGAAGTAATTCAGCATTATAATTTGAGAATTTACACATTTGTCGTTTATCATCATTAATTTGAATGGTAGATGGAATTCTATATATATAGATATTTGGTACACATATCGCATAACCTTTAAATAATTTGATAGTGAAAAAAATTTTTATGTAGAATTAACATACAATTGATGATTGCAATTGAATTAATTTTCATAAAAATAACCTACGAAGGTCAGGTGGCCAAATTCTTCCTTTATCTTGTATGGGAGGTAATTGAGGCAATGAAGTCTGTTTAACAATATTTAATTTCTGCACTTGAATAAGTTGGTGATATAGGGTAATTAAACCTAATATGCAAAAGAGCAATATACTAAATGATTTAAGCATAATATCTTTATTCATAGTGTCCTGCTACTTTATTTGATATATAAAGATAAAAGAGTTAATTCGAATTTCGAGCTTTTTTTTATTAATCATGGAAGACCTTAAATTTGATACTTCAAATTACCTTTTTGCTTTTTTTATGTACTCTTATTGATCAAGTGACAAGCCGTTTCAAGCAAATAACGAATAAAAATGCATGTTATTGTGACATCCAAATGGTAGCGATAACGTTCTTATACAGTGACCTAGTATTAGCTATTGCAAATACATTTGGATTTGAGCTTATAAAATCAATATAATAAATGGTTTTATTGGTTTTACCACAAAATCCCGACAATACATAATCAACAGGAGGAAACGTACCCGATCCAAAGTGAATCCCACACATGGTATGATAAATTAAACCTAATATAAATAATTTCAGTTTTAATTTATC